CGTCAGGTTGTCATCATGGTAGTGTACTTGGTAAGAATCCAGTGGATCATTCTGCTAAATCGCAGGACAAGGTTAGTAAAACGTGTCATACTCATTATCCTCTAAAATCTTGGGGACATCTAAGAGGAAAAAAAGAGTCTCCGACCGCCGGACGCATGAGGGGGTTGGGCAAGTATTCCAGCCCCTCTAGGACCCCCGCAGCCTAGTCTGAGGCCCCGCATCTCATTGCCCACGACACGGACACGATCGCTGCAATAGTGTTGACTGTCCACCTGTTTCAATCGGACAGTTGTTGTCCGTGGGCCGATTTCTGTGTCGCTTTCGCGGTTTGGTTGACTTGCGACTGTGAGTTTCAAAAACGCGTCAGGAGTTGTGATCGAGGAAGACGGATTATGTAATAGAAACAAATGGTGCTGACTCGCATGAGCCGCAATCCTCCAACATCCCGGTAATGCTGGATCCTCACCAGGGACTCCTCCGCCGGGCTGCCGTCAGGGCCCGCGCGCCCCTCGGTCATGGCTAAAATATCATCCTAAAATTCGCGTCTTTTGCACTAAAAGTGCGTGAAATCCGGGAGCAGACAAACGGATCATTGAGTGTCTCTCGTAAAGGCCAGATTCACGCTATCGGAGGCTACCCTCTTGCCTTTCACTATTGACTCGAAGAGTGGGGGTTTGGAGGTCTCCATGTCCGTTGATTAGCTCGGTTGGCCTTAGTTATAGTGTGACTTTTGGGGGAAGATGAGCCTGCATGCGTATTGAGCCCGGTCACCTGGCCAGAAGGAAATATGTCAGCGGGCCAATAGCGTCAAACCATTACCAATACCGGTATCTCTGCCCTAATTTTTAACTCCAGGGTCTTCTCATGCATGCGAATAGCGCTGCCGGATGGGGGGTAAATTTACGGTCAGAGACTTTGCCGTCTTGTCCGTCTCTGCTCTCTCTCCGAGCTAATGGTGGAGACAAGGATACGCTAAAAGAGCTAAAGCCTTCCTATCCTTCCATGCACCGCTAAGTTAGACACATCTCTTGTACTACACGCGTGTCCCCGTTCCTCCATCTATGCACTCCTGCGGCGATAAAGGAAAAACGTGTCAGAGGAAACTTCTCTGTGGGTCGCTAAAACTCCAGGACAATCCACAACTTCCAAATGATCCACTGCACTCCTGTCGCTTTCTAGAATCATCCACGACCCGTATTGACCTTCTACGACGGGTTGCAATAGCGAGGTGCGGGTGGGACTTGCAAGAATAAGCCGGTGCCGGGCAGTCGGGAGGTTCTTGCCATTGTCCCGCCTGCTATTCCAGGGCATCGAATAGCCAACATCCAACTAAATACCCGCGCAGCAGTGCCGGTAAAGACGCCATATCCTTCTTTGTGCCTGAAGAGCTATACCTATAGGTCTTAACAAAAAGGGAACATTCGCAGCATTCTAGATAACTGTTTTCGGATATGGCTCTGGGGGAATAGTGGGCTTTTATCGAGATTTTTTTGCGGTCGAGCGAGCGGTTTCCAGGGATGAACATGGCGCATGAGGCTGTATCTGTACTGTACCGGTGCCCTAAGTAAATTTACGGTACTAGCCGTGGGCTGAATCCCAATTCGAGCTCAACCTATCGTGTTGCCTAGACTTGCAGAGAGCTGACAATTGCGTGGGCCGCAGTTTTCTTCGTTGTTTCCGGACCTTTACTCCGCCCGGCCACTCTGTGTTCTTTCATTCATTTCTGCCCCGTACCATATATAAAAGTTACACGATACGAATACGGTTCCTTAGTCTTTGCAGGACCTGAGCACGACTACCTAGGGTTCTACTCCAGAGCAGGCAAAAGCGCAGCGAATTATTCATATTGGTATCATACACAGGCTGAGGTTCCCGATAAGCGGAACTCATCTCATAACTAAGTCTTAATCTAGGGCTAGCAAAAGGACACCACTGGGACGAGTTACCATAGCTACATCTTTTTACCGTCATACCCGACCTTCAAAAACGGCTTCATGTCGACCCAGCTCCCACTATTTCAACTTGATGGATCAGTCGGTCACCCGTTCCTTCAATTTCTCTGATCCCGAAAATAAGAACAATAATCTAACAGCCTTGCTAGAGTTACCCGAACCCAAACCAATATCGATGGAGAATACAGTGGGAATATCGGTAATAACAATGTTATTGGGAGAAACAATACCATCAATATCACAAATGTACCGCCCGATGTGACAGGTTTGGGGGTTGGAAATCGGGGCGGCGTGAGTGGGGTTGGAGACGGAGGTACTACCGGGTTTCCAGAGAGGTTTCTGACAAGGAGCTAACGTGTTATCCCAACTGAAATAAGTATCTGGGCCCTATCGCTTGATTCGCTATTGCAGGAATAGCACCTTTACCGGCAGAAAAAATCTTCTTGGGTTGGTAAAGAGTTTTGCGGAATGCAGTGCTCATAGCCAAATTGCCCTTCATGGATTAGGTGGCTCGGGGTATGTATTTGTTGTTTTGGTATATACTGAAGGATTCTCTAACATCGCTTAGGAAAACTCAGATTGCTCTTGAGTATGCTTATCAGCGGGTCAGGGAGAGTAATTGTCATGTCTTCTGGGTACAAGGAAGTGGGCTATTAAAATTTAGTGAGGGCTTTAGAGATGTTGCGCAGCATGTTCGAATTCCTCTGGCCAGTGCCGAGACAGAGGAAGAGAAATTCCTTCTGAGTATAAGGAGGTGGTTTGAAAGCCCGGACAGTGGCGACTGGCTTCTGATTATTGACAACGCCGATAACGACGCCGACTTTATCGGAAACAACAGCCCTATCGCTAGGTATATTCCGCAAGGTTTCAGAGGGACTGTGATATTCACGACCAGATCTAGACTGGTTGCATCCCGGCAGTGTTGCAGGATGATTGAGGTTGGAAAAATGGAGGAGGGAGATGCTCTAGAGTTGTTTTTAAAACGCTTCGGTGGGTGGGAGAATCCCGGGGGCGAAGAGAGCAAGGCCATTGCAATGATCCTGGCATCGTTGCACCACCTACCGCTAGCTATCATAGGTGCAGCGGCCTTCATGATCGAGACCAACACCCCACCATCCACTTACTGGACTATTCTCCAGGACAGCGATGAGCAAGCGAAGAGATTACTCTCACAGAAGTTTTGCGATATCCAACGCGAGGCTGATGTGACAGAAACTATCCTCAGTACGTACTTTATCACCTTTGACCGAATCAACAAACAGATACCTACAGCGGCGCATCTTCTACGGCTAATTGCATTCTTCGATCGACAAAACATACCGGAGGAGCTATTGAGCCAAAGCGGCCTAGAAGGGATGGCCGATCCGATTATGTTTCACCAAGCCCTGGGAAAGCTTTTGGGATTCTCGCTTGTTTCGAGGGCCAAATGTGAGGGGAAAACTTTTTACGAGCTACACCGTTTGGTCCAACTATCTTTACAAACGTATTTACCAACCAAGGAGTTCAAAAAAGCGAGGGCCACTGCGCTGAAGGTGGTTTCACGACTGTTTCCTGACGATGAAAGCGAGCGGCGATGTGTTGGTCCTGTATACATTTCGCACGCACTTGCTGTAACTAAGGATTCAAGGGATCCCATTGCCGAAGAGCTTTGTTTTCACATGGGGCAGTACTTCCGAGATAAAGGTTCCTACGTTAATGCAGAAATCCAGTTTCGTCGTTGTATTGCCCTTCGAGGGAAAGGGAAAGATTGTGACTGGGATGATGAGGGTGGAAGGAGATTCATGCTCCTGGGGGTAGAAAGTGAACATGGAGGAAAGGCTGCTGCGGCGAGCAAGAGATTTCGGAATTTACTAGGCGGTTTTAAGAGGTCGTTTCATCTAAACAGTGTTGACATGCTAAGGTACATAAACCACTTAGCTCTGGCGCTAGAGGACCAGGGAAAGTACGATGAATCAGAAATGGTTAAGCGGCGTATCCTAGAGCGCTGCGCGACAATTCTTGGACCAGACCACCCCAACACTCTCGCAAGTACCAACAACCTGGCTCTTGTATTGGAAGAGCAGGGAAAGTACGATGAATCGGAGATGATGCTACGGCATGCACTGGAACGGTATAAGAAGGTTCTTGGACCAGACCACCCCCGTACCTTAATAAGTGTCAATAACTTGGCTACGTTCCTACGAGGCCAAGGAAAGTACAATGAATCGAAGGCAATGTTTCAGTGTGCACTGGAGGGGCGCGAGAAGATTCTTGGACCAAACCACTTTGATACCTTGATAAGTGTCAATAACCTGGCTGCAGTCCTGCAAGATCAAGGAAAGTACGATGAATCGGAAGCAATGTATCGGCGTGCGTTGGAGAGGCGGGAAAGATTCTTGGACCAGACCACCCCGATACCCTAGCAAGCACCAACGACCTAGCTCTCTTGCTGCAAGACCAAGGGAAGTACGATGAATCGGAGGCAATACATCTGCGTGCACTAGCGCGACGGGAGAAGATTCTTGGACCAGACCACCCTCACTACTTGATAAGCGTCCATAATCTGGCTGCGGCCCTGCGAGACCAAGGAAAGTACGATAAATCGGAGACAATGTATCGGCGTCACTGGAGGGGCTCGAGAAGATTCTTGGACCAGACCATCCCAATACCCTAACAAGTATCAACAACCTTGCTTTACTGCTCCAAGACCAAGGAAAGTACGAAATCGGAGGCCATGAGCCGGCGTGCACTGGAGGGGCGCGAGAAGTTTCTTGGAGCAGACCACCCCCACACCCTAATAAGTGTCGACAATCTAGCTATCTTACTGCGACACCAAGTAAAGTATGATGGAATCAGAGAAATGCATCGGCGTTCAC